CCCCTTTATTTGTTAGGGTTATTCCCAGATACTAAACTCCGTCACCTTTTTGAAGCAATACTCTTTACTCTCGTTGTTTGTGGTAGTCTTCAGTTGTGTATCTTCATATGTGGTCTGTCCCATTTCCATATACTTTGTTTTTTGCTCATTAATAATTAATCCATACTATTTAGCCTTCGCTTCAGTTTGAAAATCCTCAGCAGTTCCCCTTTAGTTCTTTTCATGAACACTACATCGTCCACAAATGATAGAACCAGGCTTCTATTGTCATAAATCATGCCTTTTGTTCGTATTCCACTCTCTCTTCTCTCTCTGTCTTTCTCTCTCTCTCTCTGAATATGCCTTCAGCTAGAAATTAAAGAGTATTGTAGACAGCGGATCTCCCTGATTTAGTCCCCTTCTTACTTCAAATTATTAAAGTGTTGTAATTACGAGATTGTTGTATGAGGGTACTGGTAGATAGATGCTTCTTCTCCTCTGTAATATAAGAGGTTTTCGTAGTTTAATATTAGCTGGTTTTCTCATTTTCTTCGTACTTCGCTTAGAGCTGTTATGCCCCATTTAATTATTTAATTTTACATCTAATTATGTTAGTATTTCATCTGTTGATAGCGTTCTTGTAGTGTATGTTGATATATTCATTGGTAGACATCCACGGTTGCGTGATTTTTTTCTCTTCTCTGACTGACGCAATTTTTTACCTCCCCCAGAATCCATGTGGTAAACCTTTTTCAAGGTGTAGGATTGAATATTTAATGTTCTACCCACCTGGGATATTCTGCTTCTTTTAAAAAATTGCCATATTTGAGGTAAAAGCCATAATCGTCCACGCTAGCTAGACGTGTTGAAGGATTATTTTAGGGAAAAAAGGATTTTGTTTTTTTTATAGGGACATATGGAATACCGATATGCTTTCCTCTCGGTGAAGGGATTTAAAAGAAAGGCATGGCCAGGGTAGACAGGGTGGGTCGCATCAATAAAGCCAACCTGTCCTCTACCGGGATCATAAAGGAGTGTATAGCCGCTACCGCTTCATAGCTTCATAAGGGATATTGTAGTCTCAACTTAGTTTAGGAGTCACTAAATTTTCCAGTAATGCAATGAAAGGCTGGTCCAGGATAATTTCCTATGCACGCTAACTTAGTACTAATGGTTGCTGTTACCCTTCATCAAATAAAATAATGTAGAAAGAACTGTTTACGTGTTACATGGAAGATTGGGGTTGGGACAATCTCTCCCAGGTCATAATAATTGTATCCCATGAATGAAACCTAAAATACCAGATTTTCTAACACAAATATACAGACTGACGAGCTGTAACAAAACAATAAAATATATAAACAACAACAAGTTTTACGATATTATAAAAATATTTGTAGCTTCTTGTATGTACTCGTATTTAGAGTTTTTTCTAATAAATATCCAAATTATTGCTATCCAAAAAATACCGCCCCATAAACTGCGAACATCCAATTGACCTAAAACTACTGCAAACTTATTGAATAACCCGACATACACGAATAGGAAAAGGGATGGAACGTTGAGAGATCCGCAGTAGCAAACAAATGGGTCGATAACTCCCCTTGCAACATAAGCGGGTGCACCGTTCATTCACCTTGTTCATATTCGGTTTATTCATGCAGCGGATGTGAATTGGTTCAACAGTGAATGAAATTCAACAAGGAAATAAATTGGTCTGTTAAGGATTTTATTAGAATGTTAGAATTTGATAATCTAGAGCGATAGTTTTGTAGAGAAATTGTAAATAGGAGAAAATATGGGTGGTATTTTTGCAGATGGGACTAAATAAGATATGTTTCACAAGTTTACTTTTGCAAATGTTCTATAACAAAATAAATTTGTTCAATATTAATTACTTATCTAGGCACCTTCGAAATTAATAATTTATCATTGTTAAATAGTTTTTCATAAGAGTGCAATATCTGGGTATTTCATACCTACTTGTTCATTATATTTATTGTTATCATTATTGAAATCATAAAATTGAAATAAACACTTATTCAGTTCTCCGTTAAGTAGAAAGGGGATTTACAAAGATAAATGTTAATAAATCCGCAAAGACTCAAGTATCAATAGGAACGCAAATGTTAGATAAAAATTTTCAAGATCAAAAATGAAATAATGAATTGATTAGAGAAAAAACAATGACAACCAAAATTTTACAATAATTAGTAAATCAGAGGATAACCTTAGCTGAGAAAGAAGAAGGTTTTTGTACTGGAAGATCGTATATAGTAGCAATAGTCGTCATAAAGCGACTAGAATACGACGAAATACAAGCGACTAGAATATGCAGAAGAAAGAAAAGAGAGGCTATGAAAAAACAAGTACAAGAAATCGTAAAGCATAACAACAGACGCGAAAGCAGAAAATTCTATAAATGCATAAAAGAAAGCACACAGTCATTTAGACCAAAACTAACGATATGCAAAGACAAGGACGGAGAACTACTAACAGAGAAGCAAAAAATTATAATGAGATGGAAACAATATTTCGAAGAAAATCTAAATGCAGACAACGAAAATGATCAGAACGAGACAATATATTATACGGCGGAGCTGCACATCGAAAATCCGAGTTATGAAGAAGTAGTTCAGATAATAAATAAACTAGAAAACAATAAAGCACCAGGAAAGGACGGAATTTCGGCAGAATTATTAAAGCATGGAGGATGCGAACTCTGGGAAAGAATCCATTACCTAATAACATTAATATGGACGAAGGAGCAAATGCCAGAGGAATGGACAGTTGGCCTCATACAACCAATATATAAAAAAGGAGATAAGAGGGAATGCCAGAATTATAGGCCAATTACATTGCTAAATGTAATATACAAAATTCTTTCTGGTATAATCTACAATAGATTATTAGAATACTCCGAAAATATAATTGGTGATTATCAAAATGGATTCAGACCAAATAGAGCCACTACAGATAACATATTCATACTAAGAACGATACAAGAAAAAGCTTATGAATACGACATAGACCTATATAATATGTATATAGACTTTAAACAAGCTTTTGATAGTGTGAAAAGAGACAGAATGCTGGAAGACCTTTGTAATCTAGGTATACCTAAGAAATACATCAGCCTCATAAAAATGACGTTGCAGGGTTCAAAAGCCGCAGTCAGAGTAGATGGAGAACTGACTCCCCTGTTTAACATCAACATGGAGTAAGACAGGGAGATGCCCTATCAACCATGCTATTCAACCTAGTTCTTGAGGCAGTCATCAGAAAAACCAATATAACCGGCCATATAAACACCAAATTAGTACAAATTACTGCATATGCAGACGATGTAGCCATCATTAGTAGGAATAAGCCACGACTGATGGAAGTGTTCAAACAAATTGATCCTGAAGCAAGAAAAAGAGGTCTCAAAATAAACGAAGCAAAAACGAAGTATATGACAGTCAAAAGAATAACTGACAATGAAAATAATATCACAATAGACAACTATACTATCGAACGAGTGGATGCCTTTACATATCTCGGCACAGAAATCAATCAGAAGAACTCCGTAAGTAGCGAAATTAATGCACGTATTTCCAGCGGGAATCGTACATACTATGCTAATAAAAGATTGATGACATCGAAATTATTAGACAAAAGAACCAAAATGACTATCTACAGAACACTGATTAGACCGTAGTAACCTATGGATGTAAAACTTGGGTAATGACGAAAAAAGATGAAGCCCAACTCAGGACATTCGAGAGAAAAATACTGAGGAAAGTATATGGCCCGGTACAAGAGGAAGATGGCACATGGAGAATCAGGAGAAACGACGAGGTTAATGAGTTAAATGAAGGTTATGACATTGTAAGATTTGTGAAAAGTCAAAGACTGTCATGGCTGGGACATGTGCAGAGACAAAACGATGCAAAAACAACAAAGAAAATGTTACAATGGAAGCCCATAGGAAGGCGAAAAAAAGGAAGGCCCAGAACGAAATGGTTGGATGATGTGAAAGACGACCTGAAAACAATGAACATAAGACAATGGAGAAGAAGGGAACAAGAGAGAACTGAATGGAAGGACATAGCCAGACAGGGAAAGACCCATCCAGGGTTATGATGCCAAAAGACGAAGAAGAAGTCGCCATAAAGCAAATTTACGAGAAAGAACTACAGTATAATCGACCAGTATATGTGTCTGATTGACTTGAAGGAAGCATTTGACAGAGTAAGACTCAAATATGTAATCCATCTTCTTTGTAACAGAGAAGTTCCCCTAGATATTACAAAAATTATTGACAACATCTACCAACCAACTAAAATGGAAGTCAGAATAGATTGACAACTTACAGGACTTATTAACATAGGCAAGCAAAACTGATAAAGCCATATGTCCTTCAGTTTAATAATGGATGAAGTCATTAAAAGTGTCAGCAAAGGAAGAGGATTAAGGTATTGAAAAGACGATTGCGTCGCTATAAACGTTATACTTTTATTTATTGTCTCCATATAATTATTTTATTCCCTCTTTATTCTTTGTAGAACTCTTTTATGAGTTTAAATAGACCTTTCTTGATTAATCCGTTGTAATTCAACCTTAAATGGGGGTAGGTTATCAACATAATTTCACAAATTAATATTCATTGTACTTCTTTGATCAATACGTTTTTTTATCAATTCCAATAAAATCATCAATAAATCAGTACTACAAATAACAACTACAATAACAATAGCAGTTCCAGCCCATCCTTTTTGTCAACAAGTAGCTTTCCTTTCCATATTAATGAAGACAAGTAAACACCACAAGAAGCAGTATTTTTGGTAAAGCAGTTTGCTCGGTTTTGTCTCAATAAATATGATAAATTAATTCTCTATTATGTTGGTTCTACTAACACTAGGGAGACCTAGTTGAAGCCACTAAACAAGAGAGCTCAGCGTTATTTTTGTTATTTAAATATGATATAATAATAGGAAAACTGTCTTTCCCATTACATATCTTCTGAAATATCTACTTACCTTGCTGACCAGGAAGTCTGTTTCATCGAAATGCCTGCCGAACATCTTAGGTGACTCCCCAGGAACTGGTTCTATCTTTATACACACTTCCATTCCTTTTCTAGCGCTCTCCACTGTTTTATGGTTACTTTCTATACTAGTCACAATACCAACGTCTAAAAACTAAAAAAGAACAGAAACTGTATGAGCGCAAGAGTTCATACAAAAGTAAAAGTAACTAACATTTGATCGTTGTAACAATTTATAATGAACATATTTACCTCTTTAGTGGGAACACAGATGGGAGTTCCTTCTCTGACTATCCCGGCTTCCACCATAACGCCAGCAACGATGGGATCTCGGGAATTGAACACGAACTGAGGCAATATCTTGAGTTTGCACGGGAACACGGCGATATGTTTGAACTCTTCACGTTTCCTCTGCTTGAGCTCCTCTCGGTACGCCATGAACTTATCAAAGAGATGGTAAATAATGTCTGCTTGGAAGATCTTGACACCCACACTGTCGGCGAGCTCTTGAGCATCTCGTTCCACTTTTACGTCAAATGCTAGGATTGTTGCGTACCTATAAATGTATAATAAAGTTATTGTAAAAAGTAATAATCTTAGATACCTAATACAATAAAGTAGGGAGAGAAGTAGACAAGTATGGAATCTAGAGGCAAATTTGATAAAATTAAGATCCGTTTTGATGTTACTTAATGTTGAGCAATTGAAGAGAAGGAGGAATGTATATCGCAGAGACGAGAATGTTTTGTTTGGTGAACGAAGCAGATAAAAAGCATACAATTACAAATAAAAGACATTCAGGAAAGACCAAAGTCGATGCAAAAAGAACAGAACATAGAATGTTCCCAGGCACATCCATGTGAAATAAAAAATTAGCTAATAAAATGTTGATGGCCAATTGTAGACAAGCACAAAAAGCGTTATAATATCTAAAACAATAAAATCACAAAAAGACAAGAAAAGAATTTAAACCACGGCTGACGATGTGTAGAGACAAAAATGGACATATAGTCAGTACCGCTGACGCAGTACAAAGCAGATGGGTTGAGCACTTCAAAGAACTACTTGGTACCGAAGTGGAAAATGATGCGTCACCCCAAAGACCAAGAAATAACACTCACGTAGAACCTCCTTCAATATTTGAAGTGAAAGACGCAATCACACGACTCAAAAATATCAAGTCCCCAGAAGTGGACTGTATCCCCGCAGAGCTCATCAAACATGGAGGTAACAGCATTATGCACCAAATTCACAACATAATAGTCAAAGTCTGGGAAGAAGAACAAATGCCAGAGGAATGGTGCACTGGAATCATATGTCCACTGCACAAAAAGGGAGATTTGTTGGAATGTAAAAATTATAGGGGTATAACTCTTCTGAATACAATGTACAAAATATTCTCCAACACCCTGTACAGCCGTTTAAGTAAGTACGTGGAAGAAATCCTTGGTGAGTATCAAAGCGGTTTTAGGCCAGGTAGGTCAACAGTTGACCATTTTTTGTGCTACGTCAAATCTTAGAAAAAACCAATGAATTTAATATTGACACGTTCCATCTCTTTGTGGACTTAGTCAGCGTATGATAGCGTCCTAAGAGGTAAATTATACGAAGCCATGAATGAACTTAACATTCCCCATAAATTAATAAGGCTCGTAAAAACAACTATGAGTAAAGTGATCTGCAGAGTGCAAATACAAGGCGATATGTCACAAGCGTTTGAAACATATGCAGGGTTACGGCAGGGAGACGCGCTGGCGTGCCTTCTCTTTAATATAGCGTTAGAAAAGACTATAAGAGATGCCGAGTTACACAATAGGGGAACAATCTTTAATAAATCAACGCAGATTATGGCTTACGCTGACGATCTGGATTTGATCGCACGTACTACACGAGGACTTAAAGAGATGACTTCCACCTTCTTGACAGCCGCACAAAATATGGGCCTTAAAATAAACGAGGAAAAAACCAAAATGTTAGCATCTATTCCAAATAACAGAGATAGAGCTAGAAACGCCGAACAAAACTTCAGTATAGACCAATATAATTTTGAGGTAGTAAATAAGTTTACATATTTGGGTTCTCTCATAACAAACGATAATGACACATCTGAAGAAGTTAAACGGAGGGTACTGCTAGCAAACAAATGTTATTTTGGACTAAGCAAGCAGCTAAAAAACAGAAATTTAAGCCAGAAAACCAAACTAATAATATATCGAACACTCATCCTACCAGTGCTGACATATGGGTCAGAAACATGGACCATCTCCAAAACAGACGCAAATCTTCTGCTCGTCTTCGAAAGGAAGATACTAAGAAGAATAATGGGCGCATTCTGTGAGAATGGTATTTGGAGAAGGCGATATAATTTCGAATTGTACGAGAAGTATAAAAAAATAGTAAATGGTAGAGATGTAATATCCTTCATAAAAATATGTAGGCTTAGATGGGCTGGACATGTGTCAAGAGCAAATGAAAATTACCCACCCAGACGAACTCTATTATCGGTCCCAGTGGGAAATAGGAGTAGAGGCAGACCACGACTGAGATGGAGGGACGGTGTGGACGAGGACGCAAGGAAAATCGGCGCGGCAAATTGGCAACGGTTGGCGATGGACAGAAACGACTGGCGAAATAGACTGGGGAAGGTCAAGGCTCAACTGTAGCTGTAGCACCACTGATAATGATGATAAAATCACAAAATCTAGGGAGCAAATACAAAAAGAATAGTCATAGTTATATAATCACAGTACACATCAAAGTATTCGTTTCAAAAGCGAAAAACAAGTACGTAAGCTTTACCTCATTAAAGTCCTTAACTTTCAAGACTCACAAAACATGAACTACTAATTACTGTCATATTTCACAAGGAATATATCGACTTGCCAATAAAGCCTAGTCAAGAGTATATATTGTAATGATTGGATAAGAGCAATATAATATGTTGTTTAAATAACAGCTATAAAGTTATAAGTACTCACTGACTTTCGTGTTCCAACATAATAGATGCCTTCATCACGTCTTTCTTCACTACAGGTCCTATTCTGATTCCAGAGTACTGAAACAAATAATTTATATTAGTGATGTAACGAATGTCATTTTTTAAACATTCGCGAATGCGAATGCGAATATATGCCACCGACATTCGCGAATGCGAATATTCAGTTTTTTTTAATTTGGCAATTTTAATTGTCTCCGGCACTACCGGCAGTCTCATTTGCGCGAGGTGCTTAGGCAATTGGAAAAAGTCTGTCATTTTTAACTGCTTTAAATTGTCCAGTATCATTCTATAATATTTGCTAAAGTAAAGATGTGAAACAGTTGTATTTATTGTAAAGAAGTTTATTGTAGGCGGTTAAGTTTATTGAGGGGTCGTTTAAAAAGGTATTTATTTATAGTCACGTCCGGGCCAAAAACGTAGAAAGCACGTTTTTCGATCTTATTCTCTCTTGTTATAATCAAATTTGACTTGTTATAGAGAGAAAGTTATAGCAGAGAACTAAGTTCTCTGGTTATAGGTCAATAAAAATTTCACGGGACACAAGTCACTCCACTTGCCCTGCTCTGTTCGTGCACAAATACAAGTGAATTTTTAGTTAAAGTGTGATTAGCGATTTATTACTATGAGTAAATCAAATTATAGTGAAATATGGACTTATTTTTCACCACTTTTCGATACTGAACGAGCTAAACGCAAGCTGTGTAATATTCGCAAAACATTCGCACAAATTTTGCGAATGCGAATGCAAATGCGAATATTCGCGAATGCGAATATTCGTTACATCACTAATTTATATTAGCATTTATTAAATTTTTTAAAAACTTTTGTTATTATCACTAGAAATTATCACTATTATCACTTTAACATACTCTTCAGTAAGTCTCGAGCGAAATAAAAATAAAAAGAAAGCAATCAACCACCACGATGTTTTTTCGTAACCGTGATAATGTGCGGAACATAATACCTGCGGGTAAAAGGGTACTACTATCTAAGTTTTTAATGAATTTTTAAATATATTATGGAGAGGGTAGCCGTTATCATTCATTAATTCCTAGATCTTGCTTCGCTCGACTTGAAGTCAAAAGGTTTCTCAAAGTTGATGAAAAGTACATGGGTTTCTATGGGGTATATTATCACTGCATAAACGTCCTTTTTAGAATATGCTTTGCTCTTTTTGCATAAGTACTTCGGTTAGGATTTTAAGAATGTGATTACCTAGAGTTCATGTCAGCGAAAACTTCTACAATGACACATTGAACAAGCTCCATCAAGTAATAAGACGAAGACACTCAGGGAAGCTCTAACGTAGTGCAATTTTTCTGCACGACAATGCTCGTCTTAGGTTACCAATGTAGTGAAAGAAAATCTACAATGAACGAAATAGAGAATGTTAAATGAAATGAGGTTGAATGCTCGAATAAATGAACTTTGAAAATAAGGCTATTATCGAGCACAAGTTAATTAAATCTAGCCCAAGTACTTTGACGCCCAAGTATTTTGACGAAATGCCCCTGAAGATGCTATTTTAAGCGAAAGTACTTGGGCTAGATTTAATTAACTTGTGCTCGATAATAGCCTTATTTTCAAAGTTGAAATAGAGAATATTAGACCATCCACCCTATAGTCCCGATTTATTGCCCTGCGATTTTCACATCTTTGGGCTTTTCAGTCGGACGAAGAAATACAAAATACCGTAAAATAATTCTTCGAGCAACGATCACAAGAATTATTTAAGTAGGATATACATCGGTTCTTGAAACAAATATTGGAAAGACAAAATAAATAAAAAGATAGAACTAAATATCAAACTAAAATTCTATAGGTTGCTAGAAACTATCAATAATAAACTCTTGAGTTGTAAAAATATATTCGGATCAGTATAGACGTATTGCGCGCAACTGCTCTGGGGATGCGTTAAAAAAATGGTTTAAGTTTATTTGATAGTTATCTTTTTCTAATTCCTATGATTCTGTTGTCCGTTTTTTCATATTATTCTTAAGTCTCTACATATTACATTGAAAATATCCCCAAACAGTTAATAAGATCCTGATTGGAATAAATCGAAAGCAGCTGAACCTCTCCTATGGTCCTCACCGTCGCCATTTCAAGAAAAAAACATTGCAACTAAACAAAATAATAAAAGTGTGCCTCTTTTTTTATTCTATAAGTATTGAAGGTTACTATACGGGTTTTGGTACTGACACGGGATCACGTACAAGGATATGAAGGCCGGATGTTCGTTTTACCGAGAATTCAAGAAGCGGGGTTTGACATAGGCGCGACTTCCATTTTAATGAATTGTGATATTGCAGGAAATTTATCCGTTATCAATCATACGGACATTAATAATACAACAAATATAATGAAGACGATTCAAAGACCATTCATTTCTGTGTAATTTTGTTTTACGTCTTCTTGCAATGTATATTTGAAACTACTAAATTATTTAGTTTTATAGCTTTGTAAATAGTATGTTTGTTGACTGTTTGTGGACGAATAGATCGTTTAATTTTTAATCGTATATTAGTAGCACAATCTGCTAAAGTTTTCGTTGCTCCTTTCTTTTTTCTCGTAAAAAGTTTCGAATAATGTATTAGGATAAATTCTGTGTCCAAATCTTTCGTTTGGTTCTCGCTCAATTACTATATCTTCTTTTTCTTTTTATGTAGACATCGCGAATATATTGCAATTGTCACGCTATAGTGTAAGAAATATTGGGACCATGCAAGTTCGGAACAGCGACACCTGGTGTCGTAAATCAGCAAAATTTACTGTGCTTTCATGTTAGATCGAGGTTACCGGATAACTGTCAAGGACGTAGTCCCAAAAAAGAATAAGAAGAAAAACTAAGATTAAGGTTATGTCGGTATGTTATTAAAAGGTAAACTTTGTATGTAGTGTAAATACAAATAAATATATTATTAAATTACAGCATTACTGTTAATATGGATGCAATCATAAAAACTGGATTTGAGAAAGTAAATCACCAAATAACTTTTCAACCAAGCACTGAGTCAAAGGGAAAAGCTTTAGTAGTGGCAAATGTCAAAAAAGAAGAATTAAGGAAAATAAATTACCATAAATAATGCTAATGCATAAAATTATCAGGTTAAGCCCATGATATCATCATATTGGTTTGAACAATTAATTATTTCCCTGTAAACTTTTGGACAGCGAATATAATATATCTTAATGCATCTTCAGAAAAACTTTAACTTGATGCATTTTTGTAAACTTCAAAAAAATAAAATTTTAAACATTAAACTTGATTTTTGGGTTAAAATGAACTTTAAGTGAGTGTTATGAAACTAAAATTTACACTTAAAAGTGAACTTTTATTTATTATTTATTTCAAACTGACTTTAAAATCGGGCGCAAGAATAATGCATTATTTAGGTTATGTTACTTATGCTTTTTTATGATATAAATCCACTTTCCTCTTTGTAGTAATTTGTGCTTCGAAGTTGGAAACGAATAAACCTTAAATTGACAATTTTTTTGTTGTATTTTTACAATTTATAACACAGCATTTCCTAAATCCCATTTTCTTCAGTGACAGAAGGTGTAAATAAACAAACGAGTATGAAATATGACAATTGACAATATGAATTTATGAAATCTATGAAATGTGCAGTAAAAAATGCAAGACTTCTCCGCTACTCGCGCACGATCGTTTCTCGTATCACATCCAAGTACTTGCACGTCGCCAATAGTCAGAAGATACAAAACTACATATTCGGTCGTCACAAAACCTAGAAATGTACGAAAAAGTAAAATAACCGAAGCAGATCAATACCTTTTAAGACGCATTATTGTGAAAAATCGACGAGTAAATTATATGAAGTTAGGCGTTTTATGGAGTGACGTTATTAGAAGACACGTTTCTAGATCAACATGTCACCGAGAGGTCCACAATTTAGGATTTGATCTTACAAAATAAGTTTTATAGTTGAAGAAATCAGTACGAATTGTTTTTAATATAATTCATTTTATTTTAGGCTAAGGAAAAGCCACTTTAACCATTACAACAAAAGAAAAATAGACTAAGATGCACGCAAAAGAGCATAAAGATTAGACTCTGTTGTAATTGGATTCAATACAATGGAATGATGAGTCCAGATTTGAGGTGTGTGTTGGAGAGTAGTCGAAGTCGCGTCAAGCGCTGGAAAAATGAAGCTTTCCATCCCGACTGTCTGAAGAGAACAGTCAAATTTCCTACATCTGTCATGATCTGGGACAGCATGTCGTCTAAAGGTGTGGGAAAGTTACATTTTATCGATGGGATCGTATTTCGATTTGATTTCAATATTTTAAAAGAATTTCTTTTACCGATTATGGAACAACGTTTAACATTAGCGGAAGATTTTGCCTTCCAACAGGATGGCGCAGGTTGTCATACCTCAAAAAAGAGTTTAAAATGGATTGAAGACCATGGCATACCACTTCTGGAATGGGTGTAGTCTCGGCTTGTGCCCGATAGAAATGTTTTTCGATGTGGGAAGAGGCTCGTATATGTATTTATCAACAAGATCTACTTCGTCTTTCTGAATTTTTAAGTTATTCCTGGGTATGAGGACACCAGTGTTAGTTGTCAGTGAACTGAATAGCTCTTCAACAGATGCAGTCGGTCCCAAGCCTAGAAAAATGAGTAACACCTTTATAAAAAACCAGAGTTCAGCTAGCCCGCCTGATAGTACTCTGTGAAGACACTTGTTACAGATGAAAACCACAACGACGACGAAGACGGATAAGAACATTCGAAATCACGAATTCGGCGGAAGTCCAGCGATTCGCCCAGCTTTAGGCATAGTAGAGAAGCATACAATGCAACGACTGATCTAACGTGGACGGCTGAAAAAGAAAAGGCAAGCGCGGTATTTTAACTGCCAAAAACCTCCTACTAGCGAATTTTAAAAAATCGGTGTGTTAATCCGGTAAAAAAAAATCTACTCGATTGCTGAGATCACCATTCTCTCCCTTTTTGTGTCTTGGGCTGCTAAGAAACCTTCCTCTCTGACCATAGCATTAGATGAGGATACATTTATTGCAACACACAT